GAATTATTTTAGATATTGTAAATTACTCTGGTAGTCATTACTTTTTGTTTTATTTTGTAAATGACTGCTGACATTTATTTTTAAATAGAAATTACATTAAAACTTTTTTGCTTAAAATACCAAAAAGGTGTCAAGTTTTCAGACTTGTTCATTTTAGTCAACACAATACTAATGTTTTAGCTTTACAGGAGTTTAGTCAATTTACCAAGTCACAATTTTTCTGAGTTGCCATTTTGTGAAGAAACAAATGGTCTAAATGACATTAATTTATGACGTTTTTAAGAAATGTTATCAGACCTTTATAGAATAAAATGCATATTAACATTTTACTCAAACCCATAAATGCAGAGAAACTGAATCTCTTAACCTTTGGTCTCTATTTTTTTTTTTGCTGTAACTGTATTTAAATGTGATTGTTATTATAAATAAAGTCCAGTTATTGTTATCAGCATCATTCAATATAACATTAAACCAAAATATTAAATAAAAGAAATGTAAATATTAAAAATAAATAATATAAAGATATTAATTATATAAAAATTCACTTTATGCAAATATTTTGGGTTAAAGGGGTACAACTCACAAAAGATTTGCGATTCTTCTATCAAGTGATTAATTTATGCACAAATACCCAAAATAATTTACCACAAATAAAATAAAATAAAAAGAATCAATAAACTATGAATAATTTTACTGCCATTGTCTGAACAATTTCCAATAATGTAATCCATAAAAACTACCTTTATCTGGTAAGAAGAACACAATCTTATTCAATGTACTACAGATTATATTTGAGAAAAGAAATGCATTTTATACAGGAATACTTTCAGATTTTCATACAACAGAATAACAGATTGCACATTTTGCAAGTATTTGGTTTAATAAAATAAATTAATAAAATCATTCCAACCTTATAATTCAACTAGGCCTAGTGTACTATTATTGGCGCATGATCTTAAAACATATGTACATTCCTAAAAAAATATGTGTAAAGTATCTTACAAAAGCGAACACACGTTATTATGTTGGACATATAGGCCTACTTTAGATTAGTCAATATGCTGCTTTTATAGCAGTGCAGATTTATTGTCCTCTAAAAAATAACTATTATTGTCGCCATATCTGACCAGAGTGACCACAATTTTGATGATTTTCAGGTTCCAATATTATAATAAAGAAAAACGGGGACAGTATTTATTTATTTAGGTTTATGGGCCCTCTATTATTATACCTACTAATTATTAAAATATTTTCAGTATTTAATACCATTTAACAAAAACTGCACTGTACAAACATACAGGGCCGGCGCGTCCAGAGAGGCAACCTAGGCGGCCGCCTAGGGCGGCAGAATACAGAGGGCGGCGTCCCCGACACAACCCTCACCTCTCCCGCCCTCAGTTATATCCGCGTCTAGGGCGGCGTTTGCGACACTACCCTCACCACCCGCGCCCTCGGTTATATCCGCGTCTAGGGCTGCATCCGCGACACTACCCTCACCACCCGCGCCCTCAGTTATATCCGTGTCTAGGGCGCCGTCTGCGACACTACCATCACCACTCGCGCCCTCAATTATGTCCGCGTCTAGGGCGGCAGAATAGGGAGGGCGGCGTCCCTCGGCATCCCCCCCCCCCCCCTGGAGATCAAGCAGCGGCTGTGGGAGAAGCTGGACCAGCCTGTACTGCTGGAGACCGTGCAGCCTGATGGACGTGTGGTCATCAAGGAGAGCAGGTCCGGTTCCAGCATCCCTCCTCAAATCATGGTGAACATCAGCAAAGAGCTGCAGCCCAAGGAGCCCAGAAGGAAGAAGCCCAGGCACTGAGTCATCTATAGTGCCAGATGAAGGATCAAGGGCACGTATGTACTTATTGTATATATTGTATAATTGTATATATTGTATATAGTTCTAGAACAAGTTTACAATACATCAAGTTTGACATTTCATTCAAGTTTTCATCACATTGAATGTTTTACTGATTGTCAGTGCTGGTGATATTCAGCTCCTGGGTTCTTTTGGATGATTTGCCGGATGTTGGCAGGTGTTTAGCAAGTTTTTTTAGGCAGTGTCCTGCGCGTTGTTGGTCTCCTCTGAGTGGTTTTTGGCACATTAGTGGTTGTTAGTGTTGGCTGGTGGGTAAGGGTAGGTTAGGGTCCCTCACATGGTCTGCAGCTTGCCGTGCTGTGAGGGCTTGTGTGCATCAGTGATGCTGAGAGCTATGCCACTGGTACTTCACAGCTATCGGTAGGGTCACCCATAGTGGACAGGTCTCAGCTGAGATGCCCGACCAACACAAACCTCCTGATTCTGGACTGCAGAATCTAAAACAGCTTATGAAAAAACGTAGTTAATTTATTCCCCTCCCCTTTTTAAAAGATGAAGCGGTATTTCTCGCCTTAGCCTTACGTTTCCACCCACCTATTTTAATGCTCATTTTGGAGATGCGCATAAAAACAATTGATGGAAACGTCATGATGCACATAACTTTGGAAAATACACATAAAAAACACTCATATAGTCTAAAATAAAATCTGACAAGTGTCTGTAACCAGTGAAAATAGGGTGCGGCTCCTTTAAGAGAGATGTGTGTATGTAAGAAGCACATGTGCACAGGACCGATTTTTCTTTTTCTCTGATGCTCGGATTAAGTTATTTTCTGTAATATAAAAGTGACACTGTTGACAGAAGAATAAAGCACAAGACATGGGATGCGACCTGTGTGAGCCTTGATTGATTTTTCTGCTGCTACATGAGTTAGGCGAGCTCTCCTATATTTTTTTAACTCAACGCGTAACACGATGTCTTTCACATATATTCGGAATATGCACGTGTAAGTAACATGAATCGTTCCCATATCTTTTGTGAGTTCATTATCTGAGATGTAGAACGCATGAAAAGCTGCCGATAGAGAGACACGCAGGCACTGGTGAAGAGTGTGTGAGTGTGTGTGTGTTTACAGCAGTTTGACTGATACATATGAATTTGTAGCTTAATCGTTAGCGGTGCCAAACAGCATTTCCCATTGTTTACATTTTTACTACAGCATACCATTAATACTAGACACTGTGCATGTCATAATCAATTTTAACAAATAAAAACACAGGTTGTGGCTTAGAGTTCACAGCCTCTGCTTGTTGGAGCTGCTCCATCGTTGAGGAGATTTTAACCGAATCCAGCACTGAACTGGGAGAGATTCTGGAAGCTGTGTTTTGTCAAATCATGCTTGCTATGTATTTTATAATTCTCCGGAACATAAGTAATATTGAACTGTAAGCACTTCTGCCTTTGTGTCGTGTCCTTTGGAAGTTCACATACAGAAACAGAAAAAGCTCTGTGAAAATAGCAGCGGATATCTTTTGGAGATACTGTTGTCCTAAAAACTGAAAAATTCTGAAAAATAAAATAAAAATAAATAAAATATGAAATAAATAAAAAATCCTACACATACCTTAGGAATGGTATTACAGAAAATGTTGACGGTTTTAAAATGTTGACTTTTCCAAACCGCGGAACACCTTGAAAACGGTTATCGTCCCATAGTGGAAGTAGGGCTTTTCAGAAATGCTAGATGAAACGCCAGTGTGGACGTGGATCGTTTTTTGTTCTAAAATGCTATTTTAAAACTAAGACGTATTGATGTAAACAGGGCCTAAGTGTGAATTTTTCACGAGCGGGTTGCTGCTGTGATGGGGGCGGAGCGGAGTATTGCGATGCCGGCTCAGCATTGTGATGTCCATCAGCGATGTCTAAAAATGAGGAGTAAAAAATGTATTGTATTTACTTATTTATGCAATTTATGAAAAAAAAATCTAATAATTTTTGTCTTGTTTCTAGTCCAAATATCTATATTTTAAAGCAAAAATATAATTTTTTATGATGTACCCCACTAGCAGATCATTTTGTTCATTTTAACTTATTTCTTCTAAAGGTGAAAACAAAACAATATTCTTACTTGATCCAATCTTAATTTTTAGATATATAAAAAAATGAGATTAGAAAAAAAAATTTTAAACCAACAATACAGTGAAAATGCAACATCACTTCAACAACTCATAGAAAATAGCGGATGGTGTATTAGTGCATTAATCATTGAGGTAAAGTTGCTTTTCAATTCACACATCTGATTCGTACTTTGCTATTTAAGTAAAGCAGAATTTAAAAATGGTTATTTAACATGGAAATTGTGCTAAAGTTGTTTTAAAGTCACATTTAGATGCGATTTCAGACAAACAACATTCGCATTTCATTGACTGTGAACAATGTTGTACGTTGATAATCATTGGCTGCTAATATTGAAATTTGAAAAAAAAAAAAACTTTTCTGAAATTATATTACCCCAGTGTATTAATCCATCATACCATACCAGCTATTTATGAGAAGCCCTCTTTTATAGCCTGAGTGGATAGATGACCACCAGGGAATGCAATGAAACTGTTTATCTATCTCTGAAGCGCAATAACAACCCTACGAATGGATCGGCAGACATTGTTTTTGCTGAGCTTCTCGGCATCGCCCACTTCACAGGAATGCGCCACTTCACTTGTAAAGAAACGCAGACGCTCGGACGTGCTTGCGGTCAGTGCTGTGACTTCATACTGGAATATGTGCTCAAACTTTTTAATTCTGCCAAAATATATATTATATAACGAAATCAATTGGGAACCAACATATAATTTGAAGGGCCTTAGTTTTTAATATATATATATATATATATATATATATAGCCTATATATATATATATATAGCCTATATATATATATATATATATATATATATATATATATATATATATATATATATATATATATATATATATATATATATATATATATATATATATATATATATATATATATATATATATATATATATATATATATATATATATATATATATATATATATATATATATATATATATATATAAACTATAATATTAACTTATATATGTGCATAACAGCAGAGCCATCAAATGTAATAAGATTGTTTTTTTCTTTTTTTTTTCTTTTTTTTGGTCACCAAATTCTTGTACTCTCTTTTAATTCCCTAAAACCACTGCGTTGTCCACATTCTTTTTGGTGATGTTTAGTCTCCTCAGCTTCTCACTGTAGCAACTGATTTTTTTTTTTTACTTAAAAATGACCAGTAACAGAAATACAGCAGAGGGTCATTAAATATGATAAGGCTATTTTATAATCAAATAATTCTGATACTCCTTATTTTTTACTCACACCGGCCCAGAAGCCACATGACCACATACCACAAGCTTCTTTTAGTATTGTTACAAACCCGTAATAAGCACCAACATGTGTCGACCAAAGGTTTTTTAACCAGGCCTTTGAAATATCTACATTCAAAAGTACGCGTCTGAAGCATAGGTCTGAAGGGAGAATGGGAAATACCGCGAGACCGAACGAGATCGCCACTTCCTCAAAATGTAAACAGAAATAGCTGCAGTGGGTTCTTCAGTATAACAAGACATGTAAGCAGGTATAGCATAAAGTTGTTGTACATTTAATAATATTTTAGATAGACTTTTAAAAATTAAAGTTTGCATTTACGCTGCGGTTACTTGTAACGTTTTTTTAAATGTTTAAGCTTACTTACAAGCTTACTAACTAGCATGCTAGCCACCAGTCTTATGAACTATTTTTAAAGTTAACGTTAGTTTCCCAGTGCTTTAATGCTGTTGTTTTTCTATTTAACTTTCTAATTTTCATATATTTTTTCATATGTGAGTAAATAAGATCTTTCTGTATGCGATATAACATGTTTGGCTCGTATTGAAAACTTCTTGTAGAAACTTAGTCTGTTACGTGCTGTGATGGGTTTTGCTCCGTGGCTGAAAAAATGGAGACTAAAGGGACCGACGAGGTGGAGACACTGAAGTCCAAATTCATGTCAGCATGGCACAGTGTGAAATACAGTATGTAATAACATATCTCACGTGTTACTAAGATGTTATAATGCTAGTAGTCCTTTCATCTTTCATCGTCTTTTAAAGTCACAAAATCATGACACGCAATGTGCACGTGACTAACGTTAATCTTGAATTTTTTCAAGGCTGGGCTCTAAAGTCAAAAACTGCTTTTAGCCGTAATTCTCCTGTATTCTTGTTGGGAAAATGCTACCACTTCAAGGTTGTGGGTAAGTTGTTTTACAGTTAATATTTACACCAATTTCATAACTAGTCATAGGTTTTTGAGCTTATGGTCATTTTTAATTTAGTATATTTCTGTCTGTTTCCTTTTTAATTAAATAGCTGGTATCTGGTTTATCCTAAAATAATCTATCTGTTTCCTCAGATGATGAAAACCCTACTGAGAGCACAGCTGAGGCATTAGATGACGATGTTGTCACAGGCAATGTTGATGAATTTCGAAAGGATTTCACCTCTCGAGTTTGGCTGACCTATCGAGAAGAGTTTCCTGCTCTTCCGGGCTCCAGCTTCACTTCAGACTGTGGCTGGGGTTGTACACTCCGAGCGGGGCAGATGATATTGGCACAGGCACTCTTGCTTCACATCTTGGGTAGAGGTGAGATCAGGCCAACAGTGAATAAGTTGGGATGGAGGGATGCCCACTTTTTCAATGAAGCTTATGGGGAGAATATAATAAAAAATATCTAATAATAAATTAGTTAAAGGAGAGATATTACATTTTGGTGATATTCTTAAATTACATTGACATTTTATTTATACACACAACCGTAGAAAGCATACTGCATGCAAGTAATTTTTTTTTTTTTTGTAATAAAATGGAAAAAAAAGTAATATGAGTAAAATAATGTTCTATCTTCAATAAACATAAAATATATATTAATGTAAAAATAAACTATATACTTATTCTTGCTTGTGTTTGTATTAAGAGAATGTAAAACAATAACTAAGAATACAAAGTACATTTTTAATTATTTTAAATTATTAAAAACTTGCTGACAAATTATTGGCTCAGTAGAAAGATTTATATTAGTATTATTATTATATTAGTATTTTAGTATTATATTAGTATTTTAGTGTTCCACAGAAAGATCTGATTTACTCCATAAAACCTTTTATCACTTGTTTTTATGCAGCATTTTAATGCTTAAAACTAGTATTTTTAGTGTATATATTGTATTATAGTGTTTGTGTATATATACAAATGATTTATGAATGATTTATTTTCACAAATCATTGCTTCTTGCTGTAGACACTGGCTGCCTATCACTTATGATCCTCCTTGTTCTTAGCGCAGCCTTTGACACTGTGGATCACTCCATATTGCTTTCACAAATGAAAACAGTCTTTGGTATCACGCTCTTAAGTGGTTTGCATCATTCCTTTGTAACCGCTCGCAGTTTATCGACAAGGGAGGACCTAAATCTAACACAGGCTCTGGCAAATTTGGCATCCCTCAAGGATGCCCCCTACTCTTTTTCCAAGTATATTTTATCACTTGGTCATCTCCTGGACTCCCTAGGTCTGAAGTACCACCTTTATGCTGATGACACTTAGACATACGTTCACTCCAAACCTGGCAATCTTTCAGCTGTTACACACTTGGAACACTGTATTTTGGAGATAAAAGATAGATGTCTCAAAAAGTTCTGTGCCTGAACACTAACACGACAGAGGTTATGGTTATTTGTTCTTCCAACCAACTACATAAAACTAAACCTCTTAAAATTAACCCGGATGGCTCCTTCATGGAGGTTCAGGCCAAACTTAAGAACTTGGTGGTAATATTGGACTTCATTTTTTCATTTCAAAAACATTTCAAGAATCCACCCCATGCTGTCCTTTTTTGAAGCAGAAAAACTGATTAAAACATTTTTTTTTCCCGCCTGTACGACTGCAATGCCTTATTAGCAGGCGTTTCCAAAAGTAACATCAATAAACTACAATACGTTCAAAACTCAGCTGGCAAAATTCTGACGGAGAACAAAATCAGAGATCACATTACTCAGGTTTTGGAATCACTCCATTGATTACCAGTCAAATTCCATATCGATTTTAAAATTCTCATGCTCACATACAAGGCCCTGCATGGTCTAGCTACACATTATATGTCTGAACTTTTAACACGGTACTCCACTTCACGTGACCTCTGTTACTCTGGTCTTTTAACAGTCCCCTCCACTCGTCTGCATTCTATGGGTAACCAGGCTTTCTCTTCCCTAGCTCTGAGGTTCTGGAACTCTCTCCCCTATGACATTAGACATGCTGAATCTTTTAGATTGTTTAAATCATCCTTGAAAACTCACTACTTTACACTCGTCTATTTGTGAGGTTATTTTACGTTTCTAGATATTTATATGTTTTATCGATTTTTATTGTTATATTTTGAATGTTACAATTTTACTGTTACTCTAAACTGTTTTTATATTTGTATCTTTTTTGTGTTAAGTGCATTAAGAAATAAGTTTTAAAGGTGTTATATAAAAAAATTATTATGATTATTATTATAGGTCTCATACTTAATTCCTGGAGGGCCGCAGCTTTGTACAGTTTTGCTCCAACCCTAATCAAACACCTGATCCAACTTATCAAGGTGTTGACAACTTGGCTGCGGACTTGCGTTTTTGTTGAGACCGGTCTTGCCAGGTCACATCGGAAGAAGGAACTGAGGAGACCGCTAGAACAGAGAGCACGTCCTGTGAGATATGAGATGCTGCGTTCCTCCTGATGGTCACATGACTATCACGCATCTTTAACCAAAAATTATTTAAACATTACAGCATTCATACAACGATTTATTGTTGTCCTCCGTTTCACAATATGTACTATGCTTAAAGACTTTACAAATATACGTTGCACAATAAAATAAATACAAATAAGTTATATCTCTGAATTATGAAATCTATATTAAATGCTGCGCTTCCCACCTCCAGTCGCTTTGACTTCTGGGACTTCTGGAGGGAGTACGGTGCTCAAGTCTGCATTCATGCATTCTCGATATCAGAATACATCCGAGAAGTTTCACGCGCCCTCTGTTCTTTTGGTCTTGAGTATTGGAACTAAACTTTGGCAGCTGATGATGACGTTACACGAGGACACAAGATTGTTAAAGAACGCATAATGAGAAACAGCCCTAGAGACTATTAAGCAGGTGTGAGTTGGAGGTGGTTGGAGCTAAACTTAAAGCTAAAACTAAAGTTCGACACCATTGATTTATGGCTTCTTTGATTAAAAAAATAACAATTATTACAAATTTTGGATCGGCAGTGAATATAAAAAAGTGATGTACAATTGTAATTATTTTTTAAGTCTATATAGATTATGGTGTTATTAGAGGTGAAGTTAGCTGTATATATTTAGATATATAATCATAACTATTTTTTTTCACATAATAGCTGATTGATGTCCAAAGATGTTCTGTTGCTTAAAAGTAATTAGCCAAAGTTTTAAACCTTTTCATGTCCTCATTTACATAATAAAATTCTGTATTAATGTTTCATTTCAGGGGTCGGGTATTTCAGTGTCAGAGGTTGTCACACTAATGAATTAGCTCTGCTATGATTGACGGAGGGCACTTTTGTGTAATATGGTGAACAGGCCGCGACATTTTCCAGTTTAATGCCTTCATTCAAAAAACAACATTGATGTGTCATTCAGAGCCCACACCTTTAATGAAATATGTCATTATAGAAATATCTGTCTATAAAAAGGGGTTAATGGCTAATAAAATATACTTATTGGCCAATTACAGGCCTTGACACTCAGCAAGGTCATTACCTAATGGCCAGGAGCAGCACCTTTATGACCCTCAGCACTTCCACCTCCACCGTTTCAGACACCCACTCTGTTTGTGAGAATAAAATGTAGTAAAAGTGAAATACTGACTACGCTGAATTTAATAATTGGACTTTTGTTCATAAAGGCACTATCTATTTAAAAGTCAAATTTGGAAATGTCTGTCAGAAATATCTAGGACAAACTTACAGGACTTCTGAAAGACTTTTTGATCAAGTGAACCATATGGTTATGATTTATGTGGTAAATGACAAAAAAAAAGATGATGATTAAGAGAACGGCTATTTATTAACACATTTTAAACAGTGAAGACAAATTAAGATTTAAATTGTATATATTTTGCACTGTATGTATATTACTTATTTTTATTATTATTATTGTTTTAAAAATTGTGTGTCATCAGACTGGAAGTGGTCAGAAGCATTGTCCCTGGAGCCCTTGGATACAGAGACGTGGACCAGCAGTGCCGCTCGGAGACTCGTGGCCACATTAGAGGCTTCCATTCAGGGGGAACGAGCACAAGCCTCTCAGCCTCTCTGTCCTGTTCAAGGAGAAGCTGAGGAGGCCGACTCTTACCTGAAAGAGACATATCATCGTACCATTGTATCCTGGTTTGGGGATGGACCCTCAGCACAGCTGGGCATCTACAAATTAGTGGAGCTAGGAATGACTTCCGGAAAACAGGCAGGAGATTGGTATGGCCCAGCAGTGGTAGCACACATACTGAGGTAATTACTGGAAAATATTATTTATATATTGCTATTTTTTCTTTTTTTTATAAGGCTTTTATGTCACCCATTGCCCATTATGATAAATGTTAATTAAGCCGTATCTCTTTTTCTTTTTTCAGAAAAGCTGTTGATGAGGCAGTTGATGCAATGCTGAAAGGCATTCGTGTTTATGTAGCACAGGACTGCACAGGTATGGACAATTTAAACACTTTTGCAGAAATGCAAATATGATTTACTGATTTGCAATATTAAAGAGATAGTTCACTTACAACTCTCATCCTTCACCTTTTTAAATATTTTTGAAAAAAGCTGGAAAACCTGTAACCATTGACTTCAATAGTTTTTGCTTTTTTTACTATAGAAGTCAATGGTTTTCAGTTTTCTTCAAAATATCTTCTTTCAACCTTTAATCTTCTTTCAACAGAATAAAGAAACTCGTTAGATTTAAAACCACTTGGGGAGAAAAAAAAATATATATTTAAATATTTGGATGAACTCTCCTTTTAAAGAAAAATTCTAATAAGTTTTAATTTGAAAGGAAATTTTACATATTTATCTCCAAAATGCAGCTTTGTACGGTTTATTTATAAACTAATTTCTAAGAGGATCACACATTATGCACCAATCAGATGAATCCTAACTTACTATAAACAACCAGAGTTTCTCACCTCAGTCATCTTCGTCTTGAAGAATCCCCCCTTCTACCCTTACTCCTCCTTCCTTTTCCAGATAGGGTGGCATGGCGGCTCAGTGGTTAGCACCAGGGCTTTATATTAACGCCAAATGTGGGTAGATTTTAGCTGTAGCGGGTTAGACAGCCACCTCCACTAGCCACTTTGGCTGGTTGAAAATGAATTTTAAATTGTAGTTTTCTTAAAAGCAGTGTTTGACAATAAGGATGGCCCGATATTCGTGCAAATGCGGTCTTAGAATCTAGAAGCAGCATGACTGACGAATATAATTTTGTTCGTGTGGGCAAAAGAAAGCCGGTTGAATACCGAATGAGAGGATAATCACTCGCAGCAACAGCTGATGTGATGTGCGCGACTGTTTAAAACATGTGCGCGCTCCCGTTTCCTTGCTTGAAACAACCGTGCCAGGAAACGCAACTGGTGTGATTGGATCTTTTTCAAATAGACTAGACAAAAAGTCATGTTCATGCACCCACAGGCCTGCTGCTTTCAAGAGCTCCAGATTGGTCTTTTTTTAAGCAGCACTGGTTGTTTTTGATTTAACCATTATTTAACCAGGATATAGGACATTAACTTCCCATTTATGTTTAGTTAACTGGTGTCAACTGTTTTTGTTTTTTTAAAGAAATGTTTAGTTAAGTAAAAAGTATAGCATACAGCTATATTTAGCTTGTTTTGACATTATTTAAAATTTGTGGCTAAGAAAAAAATATTTATTTGTTTTTAATGCAGTCAGGGATAAATTTGGTAAATCCTTTGAGCTCTGAAAAGCCATGTGAACTGAAAACTAATTGTAAAACAACACTATAAAACCATGACCCATGTGCTCATGCTTACAGAGCAAGTTCTTACACAACATACACAGAAAGTAAGGAGGCATGTGGACATTCCACAAAGCCTGAATCAAGAAACTGTGGCTAGTGAAAATGGCGAGTGGTTAGTAATGCTAGAAAACTACTAGGCACACTGGCTGGTGATCAAAAAAGTTAATGTCAAGCCCTGGTTAGCACTGTTTACTAGGCCAGTCGGTGATTCTGTGTGGTGTCTGCATGTTCTCCCCATGCTTGCTTGGGTTTTCCACAGGTTCCCCTGTTCTTCCCATCGTCCAAAGACATGCAATATAAGTAAATTGACAAATCCACAGTAACATCATAGACAAACTCTTAGTCAGCTATCTCAAATAACAATTCCTAACTCATTAACCAAAACAAGCAGGGGAGGTCTCGAGACTTACCTTTGCTCAAACTCCCCTCTCACCCTTTAAATGGGAGGGAGCCCCAGGCTCGAGGATATTCTGAGCTTATGTACAAAAGTGATTTTATTTATGCTTTTAACTTTTAAGAACACAAAAGTATTAAAATATGGGTTAAATAAAGTTTTTTTTTTTTCAATCAAACAAAATCCATATTCTGTACTGTTCTAATTAAATATATATATAAAAGAATTTAGGAAAAAAGTTATGTAAAATAATAATGTATTTATTATTTTAACTTATACATTTACATTTAAAATGTGTTGCAATGCTATAAAATTATGCTTGTTCTTAAGTTGTTAGGTATAGAAACATTTGTTATACTGACATTTTAAAAATATAAGTATTTAAACCACATTGTAATGTTTTTTTTTTTTTAATACAAATTTACAAACGTAATTTTGGACCAAACTATATGTATAGTTTTTATATTTTTCTCTTTAAAGGAAAAAAGTCTTTAAAGGAGTGTCAACAATATATTTATATGAACAACAGCACTGTATAAAAGTATGGGGTCAGTTTAATTAAAGACATTAACACATTTATTCAGCCAAATGCATTTATAGGAAGCATTAATTGATCAAAATTGACCATAAAGACACATTTAAAAAACTTATTTTTTTTTTGATAAATGATGTTCTTAAATAAGAATAAATACTTTCAGCTTATGCAGAGACTGGCACAGTGATACTAAAATTTATCATGCCTAAATGTTTAAGTACTAGTGTATCTAAATACCATTGAAAAGCTCTGCAAATATCACCATTACAGCTGAATCATCTATTGTAAGGCTACCAGTGCAATTAAATTTACCAACAGCTGGATTTATCTCACTTGACAGAGAGAGCAGAGCAGACAAAGGCCATGTTGTTGACCTCTTGTTATTGATTGTCTGCAGTGTACAGTGCTGATGTTATTGATAGCCATTCAACGCGGACAGAAAGCCACAGTGATCCTCAGGGACTCGATTCTGGAGCTTCACCTGATAGTAGAGCTGTTGTTATCCTCATTCCTGTGAGACTGGGTGGAGAGAAGATCAACCCAGAATACTTAAACTTTGTCAAGGTGAGGCTTTGAAAAGCAGCATTTTACCCAATGGAGAAAAAGGAGCAATATTTGCTAAAGATGTGGCAATATTCTTATCTTAACAGCTCTTTTTCTTGTTTTTACAGAGCATTTTAAGCTTAGAGTACTGTATCGGCATCATTGGTGGAAAACCGAAACAGGCTTACTATTTTGTTGGATTTCAAGGTTAGTCTTTTAGTCAAAAATCAAAAGCTAGGATTCTATAAAAAGATGTGAATTAGACTTGTATGCAAAACTGGAATATTGCATAAAAGATATGTGAATAAAGTTTCGACAGTAGTTTTGTCTGGTTCTTGTATCTGATTGGCTGATAGCTGTGCGATATTCTGTAAAAGTACTCATGCACGCTTGTGTAGGACTCTGCCCACATAGAGTCGCAAGCAGTCGAATAAAATTGATACAGTTTAAGAAATATTGCAGCTGTTGGACAACATAATGTACTTTTCAGGCTTTTTTAGGCAAGAATGCAGTTTATTCATAAAGATAGTGCCTATTTAAACATATTTATAATTTCGGTGATTCAATGCAATGGTGGCCATCAGCATGCGGAGCAAAGAAATTGATGGTTTACTGCCACAAGATGGTGACAGAGACCGCTTGGGAAGAAAAAACTGATGGTATTTCATGCTGTTCAGTCTTATAATCTTAAAATGTCAGCAAAATCACCTGTTTTGTCATGATTTTAGAGATTACACTAAAGAATCATTCAAATACTAGCTCTAAAGTGACGTTGGTGAAGTAGCAACGATTTCTGTTGTTTTGACCGTCAGCTGCGAATGAATGACGGAAGAAAGTAGTTGCTTGTAGAAAAGGATATTTGAGTTTCATTTGTATATACACAATTATGCCATTGCACTGTTGTATAAATGCAATATCACACTAAGCAGTGTGATATGGCCATATATTGTCACTGGTGGGGCACTAAAGCCTGATTTATACTTCTGCGTCAAGTAACCGGCATAACCCACGCCGCATGCAACGCGCGTGGCTGTGCATTTATACTTCTGCGCACTGTCTCTGTTGGTCTGCATTAACACTTCCGAAACGCTAGTTGGCAGTGAGGTGTTAATGCTCCTCTGTGTCGAGTTTCTTCGCTGCTTTTTTGCTTTTCCTAAACACTTCTGGGATGTACAAGTGGCTCAAACTCGTTTTGAGGCAGGAACCGGCGGACGTGCAGCAACTTTAACTGTGAGGTAAACACAAAACAAAACTTTCCATCCGGAGCTCCTTCACGGGACTCCACACTTGTAAACAATCGCTACATTGGGTTCGCGCCTTTCGCGCGGCTCTCGGTCCCGCCCCGACTTGTCAGCGCTACCAAGCCGACCAATCACAGAGCTTGCGCTTCGCATTGTTGCGACGTGTAGTTACATTTTTTGAGAGGTGCACGTCAGTGACGGCCACGGCGAAGGGCTATGCGTCAGCGCCGTAGCATACGCCAGTGTTTGACGCAGAAGTATAAATCAGCCTTAAGATACTCATCCTGCAGCCTATACAGCCATATCGCACTGCTACTCATGGGATATTGCTAATTTAGTTCATGCCCTTTTTTCCTTATTGAATAGAAAGTTTATCCTACTCAGTTAAATCTCAGATAAGTCTTTTTATGCATATTTTGTAAATAAATGTATGCGCATCTAAACGTTTACTAAATAAGCATATTTATGCAATCTTCCAAAATGCGCAAAAATAAGTGGCTCAAAACATAGCTATTGTAGCTAGTTTATAAGAGAGAAAGTAAATGAATGCATGTAAAGAGAAGGCCAACACCATCAGAGAAGCTTAATTTGTTTTTACCGCACCCTTCAAAAACGCTACACCATTTATCATGTAATAGCAGGATTTCTGCATTCCCATAAGCAGCTTGCATGGATTTCAGAGTTACCCAGAGTAGCCCAATCTCCATCACCTTCAGTAGCCACTGGAAACCTTCAGTTGTATATGTTGGTAGTCAATATTTATGCATTTACATTTTAGCAATTTGAAATGCACTCTGCGATGATGTCTAAATGACAAGCAATACATTCTCCCTGCCATCTCCAAGAGGTCGTCCGCATTCATCATATGCAAATGATCTAATATAATTGCGTGTTTGTAAAAGTAATTTCTCCACAGCAAAATTAAATGACAGCCCCCTTTGAGGCATAAAGGATGTGCTTGTGCAACCAGATTCGATTATGCGGCGTTTAATACATTCGAATTTAGGAAGAACCCCCCACCTTAAAAAATAAAAAAATCTCATGTTTGATTGTTTGAAACCTAACCGAGGTGGGTGACTTTGAGCTGCTCTGCATAGAAATTGGCCAAGGATATGCATTATAATAATCACTGTGTTTTTTGAATAACTTGTCTTTTGTTTTGTCCTTGCAGATGACAGCTTGATTTACATGGATCCTCATTACTGTCAGTCTTTTGTGGATGTCAGCACAAGCGATTTCCCTCTGCAGGTAATGTGGAATTACAAAAAGCTGACCGGCGCACAGTGATGTGAATTTAATAGTTTCTGTACTTAAGGGTATGAATCTGAAAGTAGACCTCCACACTCAATTATCGAACACAAGAGATTTACACATCGCTCTGTACTTTGTATCAGCTCCAACGTGTTTTATATAGCTTCGGCGATTTTATATTTCAGCATCATAACTTATTTTTACGTTTTTTTTTGTGCGCTGTGGAAAGTGGCTTGGCGAAAGGCAGAAATATTAGGCCATACTTTTAGCTCAGCTGTCCAAGCCTTTCAGATCTCGGGCAGAATTCAACATTTGTCAAAAAATGTGTCAAAAAGTGGAATCTTTTATTTCTGCAATTTGAACGTTTCACATGAACGCACATCGATCATTCGGAACCGCACTGGCTGATCGGTTTAACACACCTATTACTGTTTAGATGGACATTATGGATGAAAATTTATAGGTTATGCTTCTGATGTGCATATGGATCACTGTGATTTCACAAACATGGGAAACAGGTGGCTTTGTGTGACTCATTTCAATTGATATCTTATCTTTTTGTTTCCATCTTCAAAGTCGTTTCATTGCCCATCACCAAAGAAAATGTCTTTCAGTAAAATGGACCCGAGCTGTACGATTGGATTCTACTCAAAAAGTGTTGAACACTTTGAAAAAATTGCCAATGAACTGTCAAAGGTGAGAAAACTTCAGCAAAATGTTTTAACATTAATATTGTTTTGATAAGCCGATTTGTTTTACATCAAAAATTTGTCAGAATAAGACAAAAATAAGAACATGAATGCATTATATTGTGAGGACTTTATTGTAAAGTGTAAAGACACCTTAATTAAGGCGACTAAGTATTAATATAGACTATTTTGAGGGATGTAAACAAAAACAATGGTTTTTCTGTTATTTCTGCTATTTGTTCTTTTTTATTGCTTCTGAGAAACCAGAAAGCTTCACATATTGATAAATAATGTTATGATAGCTGTTTTAACATTAAGTTATGATTGAATTACCTATTTTTACAGTGATGAAATAGTTTGATAACAAGCAGGAAATGTTTATAGGCCAATGACATCACCACATTGAAATGGTCTATATATGATATATTATTAAGAGTCTATATCAGAGATGCTCAAACTAGTGCCCAAAGTTGACCCCCAGTAACCTTCGATTTGACCTGCCATACATTAGAATTAAATCTTTAAATTAAATACTGTAAATAAATCAGATTTAGTTTAAATGTACACACCTGGTGGATAGAGGACAATGCAGAGACTTTGGTGATCAAATCAAGGCAATGGCAGGTTCTGCTTGACTAGCATATTCAACTCCACTGTTATTTTTTTATTGCAATAATTTATGATTTTAAAAGTTATACTGCATTAGGTAATATAATTAGTAATGTTTTTTTTATTGATTTTTAAATATTATTAAATAAATTTGGAAATTACCCCTGGCAACTTTAATGTAATATAGTTGGTATATTTATTAGTATGGTATATTTACCTTCGACCCCCAGCTCATAATGATATTTGGTTTTTGGCCCTTTATATGAAATGTTTGGGCACCCATGGTCTATATTATGTATTAATTATATATTATACTGTATATTTTAAATATGTCCAACAAAGGAAGAATTCAAAGACTGAAGACTAAGTATTAATTTAGATATTTTTATATTAAATATTTATACATTATTAAGAATCCATTTTTATGTATATGTTTATATATTATATATTTTTAAAAATATGTTCATCAAATAAAGAATCAGTCATGACTGAATGAAGTCATGACTGCTAAAAATTCAGCTTTACACTAATTTATTTATTCTTTAATCTATTTCAATACAGGAACGAATTATACTTAAAAAAAACTATTTTATTTTAATATAGCTTAAAGAAAAGGGTTAAGATAAAACACAAAAAATCAACCCTTTAGCTGTAAATGTCAGTTATTTACATTTGTCAGCAGGTGGCAGCATTTATCTATGTAACTTAAGATCTGGGACTTCTGTTTCCAGCAGAGCATACACAGTGAGGGGCAGATATTGTGTGTTATAACAGAATCTGCTATCTGCCTTTTTAATTTAGAAAAATCTCAAGTTGAACTGTGTTTATTATTGTGCCAGATTCTGCAACCCTCGTCGAAAGAGAAGTACCCTGCATTCACCATAATGAAAGGCCATGGGAAGGATTATGAACTTTCGATTGCTGTAGAAAAGCGAGAATGGCCTTTCATCAGGGACGCAAGGAAAGCAGGCACAACATCAGGAGACTTTGTGCTGCTTTAATGCTTAAAACTGGTAACCAAAAAAGCAAGTGATACACCATAAATCAGAACTGCATGGGTCTAAACTATTAGACTCCTGTTCTCATGTTTTTTTTTTTTTTTTTAGAAAGGACATTTTACAAAAATCTACAAGCAGTGCCTGCTCTAGAATCACAGATTTTAGACCATTTAACTGAACACTGATACTGATGCGAACACCTCTGGATCTTGCAAGCAAAGTTGAACACGGAAATTACCCTGCAAACATTTCAGCATGTTCATTTACTCTAATAGATACCGGGGGTCAATATGTTTATTTTTTTAACAAGGAGTTCTTTATGTTGTTAGGTACATGTAGATAACTATTTTTTAAACTAAAAATCAAATGTATAGTCTCATTTTTGAAACACATAAATGAAATCACAGAATTTACATTTTATTTTGGTATGTTTTATGTTACATTAACTGAAGGTATAACGTGCCTTTATAAGTGAGTAGAAAACACTGTATAGCATATAACTAAATCAGAACCTAATTCATTTTTAAATGATATTTAGCAGTGGACATTAAAAAGCTGCTTCTACCATATTTTTATGAAAAATTTTAAGAATTGAGCATTGATTTGTCCAGAAACTGTTTGATATTACATAAGTTAATTTACAATTACATTTAGTCATTTAGCAGATGCTTTTGTTCAAAGTGACTTACAATTGAGAGGGCATTCAGCGATTCAACAAGAAGAAGCAATACAAAAAATAAGTGCTAATTATACACAGGTACTGTTAATGCTCAGAGAATTAAGTGCTTGGCTTAGAAAGGATGCGTGTGCTTTTTAATAGAAACAAAACTGTTTCTTCAGGTGGTTTATGAAACCCACTCACCTTCGAAAAAGCATTTTTTAGAGATATGGAGTGATTGTAAGAAAGTGCAAGACTGGTGCAAGTGTTGGTTAGTGAGAGATGGGTGTGTTTTCTGTTGGTGGTTTGTCAAGCCCACTCACCTGTGTAAAGCACATTTAGTATTCTATAATGTTCAGAGGTTGCCGTGTCAATTAATGTCAGTTAACAACATTACTCGTATAATGCCGATATGTGAAACAATAGTTTCAAAACTGCAGAGATCTTTTTAGTTTTTTTGGAGCTTACTTTATTTTTTTATGGTGTAATGGAAATCATAAATTAGGATGAATGGAGTAATTTATTATTAAACTATGCCTTATTTAATTAATAGGCATCTATTTAATAACATTGTCAATGTGACTGTATTGTACTGCAAATAATATCTTGCTTATTTGTATAGAAACACTTTTGAACCAAAGTACTGAGCATTGAACAGAACGCCAGTGAAGTGAATAACCACAATCATTTTGTGTTTGTTAATTAATTTCACCGTTTGCCAGTTTTAAGTGTTTGCAAATTACCGCGATGTATTTCAGTGTCATACTTCTGTTGCACAATGAATATTTCAGTTTAATAACTGTCGATTCAGAAATGTACAATAAAGCTAACATGACTAAAAACAACACTTTTAGTTTGTACTTGATCTTGCATCCTTTAATGACCAGCACAAATGTGTTATTGAGCTATTTTCGATCTATTAACTCATCTTTCCCAGCAAATGTACATGACATGCATTTCGCCAAATGGAACAAATCTGTATCTGGCGATTACGCCATTTTTCTGGGAGAAAGAAAATATCTTTGTGTTGGGCTCAATGTTGCCATGGTCAATTCCTGTTTCTGTTCCGTTTGAGCAATGCTTGTGCTATTTTCATGTTAAATACAAATTCTTATATTAATAAGGTCATAACCTTCAATTATGGGGTCCGGTTAGGGGAACAAGTTACCCTTCTGTGAGACCAAGCAGAATAAATCCTCGCCTGTCTCAGCACTGGATGTCGTGAAGACTGAAGCAGCGAAGCACAATACGCCTATCGTCTCAGTGTTTTCCAGTGTCTGTGATCAGTAAATTCATGCTGGGCTGAATTTAGGAAACGAGGCATTGAGGAAAGGAAGTTTGTGACATTAAGGGGTGAAGCAACATGCCAGCCTTTCTGTCAGTGTTACATGAAAGGGGGCTTGTGCTGGAAGGCATGACGGTTTTGAGGAGACTTTGTGTTCTAGTCTTATTTATGATGCTCCCTGTATGAATATTTGATTAATGAGTCATGTTCTCCAAGAGGGAAATGTTGTATCCCAGCAGCGTATCACTCTGTTCTAGCACAGCTGCCAATAGAGGCATTGAGTCCGGCAGATTCCTTCAAATCTAATCTGCTCCGGCGAGCGAATTCCACAGATGAAAGAAGCGGAACTCTATGAGAGGCTTCGTTCTGCAGGCAATTTGGAATTGAATAAAGTTTTCTCTCTTCTCGCTCTTTTTGATATGCGTTTTGACAAGAACGGATATGACATATGTTTTTTGCTGCAGGCTGTAATGAAGAAACGGCACAAACATCCATTTTGAACTGACCATCAACAATCAGTTCAGTGTTTTTTTATTTCTTAATGTCATTTCTAAGACCAGCTCTTGGGGAAGGCCAAGCAACATTAGGACACAAACTTTCATTCACTTCAGATGGAAATAGACAGACATTAGCTATATTTACACTTAATTACACAGACTTGGTGTTGGGGAAAGTTTTTCGTCTTTAAAAGGAATGAAGACACTGACACAAAGTACATCTGATTTGAGGTGACAAACAGAATGCATGCTTGCAGTTGGATGGATGGACAGATGGATAGAAAGATAAATGGATGCAAATCAAATGGAGGAGATGGATGGATAGAATGAACTACTGATTATGGATGAGTATCTAGATAAATATAAGATGGATAAAAGACTGAGCAAACAATATTTGCCTTGATGGTTGGATGAATCAATGATTGACAGAATGAATGATGGACAGTATGAATGGATAATGATAAATAAAGAGATGAATAGAATGAAAAAAGGATGGCTAGATGGATAAAGAATAAACAGCTGATGTAGAAATGGACAGAGGGAATGAATGGTGAGTCAATAATCAATAGAACAATTTATGATTGATGAATAAAATGAAAAAATGATGTCTTATGGATAGAACAGATAAACAAATGGACTAATGAATGAATGAAACGATGGATGAATGAACAGAATAAACAGTTAATGTAAAATGGATGAAAAAGGGCAGGCAGACAGGCAGGCAGATAGATGGATGGATGGATGGATGGATGGATGGATGGATGGATGGATAGATAGATAGATAGATAGATAGATAGATAGATAGATAGATAGATAGATAGATAGATAGATAGATAGATAGATAGATAGATAGATAGATAGAACATTTGATGGAGAAATGGACATATGGGAGGATGGATGACTTATGGTTAGAACAGATAAACTAGACTGAATAAACAAATGAATGAAATGAGGGAATGGATGGATAGATGAAGAGAATAAACAGTTGATGTAAAAATTGACAGATGGTATGGATGGATGACATGGATAGAACAGATTAACAAATGTACAAATGAATGGATGAAATGATGAATGGATGGATGGACAGAATTAACAGTTGATGTAAAAATGGACAGATGGTATGGATGGATCAATAATTAATAACGATAGATGAATAAAATGAAAAAAGGATGGATGGATGGATGGATGGATGAAAAGTGTAAACAGCTGATGTAGAAATGGACAGAAGGAACGAATGGGGAATGGATCAATGATCAATAGAAAAATTAATGATTGATAAATGAATAGAATGAAAAAATAAATTAGATAGATAGATAGATAGATAGATAGATAGATAGATAGATAGATAGATAGATAGATAGATAGATAGATAGATAGATAGATAGATAGATAGATAGATAGATAGATAGATAGATAGATCAACAATTGATGATGAATTTATAGATAAATGATGGATAAAACAAATGAGCAATAAATAGACGATACGATTAAAAAGGGATAGATATAGACAGACATGGTAGATAACGCATGCATAGCGTGTACATTGCCTACATGAGACAATTAGAGACTACTTTACTGATGAGCTTGTACACATACATGGGACTTGCACCACCAATAGTAAATGATGACAACTATCACTGTCTGGTTTACTGTTCCTTCACCGGTGCCAATGCTCACAAGTGTTTACCGCCATCCATATGACCACTACACACTTAGTACTGATGTATCACATTTCCTTCACATATAAATTCTCACTGACTGACAGACAGAAGTGTGCATTAGTGTTTGTAAGAGGAGGAGAGTGTTTCTGTGCAGCAGTGTTGGCCGTCCTGCACCAGGTCCCCTACTGGAATGCTGGGAATCTTCAAACAGGTACCTGAATTCTCATCCTGGTGTTATAGGAGCAGAGTTAAAAATATCTGCTATTTAAAGTCAAATCTACTGCACGTGTGTTTGCATGTCTGTCTGTCTGCATATCTGGAGTGCTTCTTCAAAACAATCTTAGTTTGCCATGACCAAGTTGCTACCTTCACTGACATTGATTATTATCTATGTTTTCTTAAGTCATAAAAGTGTCTTGTTATAAGCCCCAGTAACAATCCAGGTTTTTTTTCCAGTAAATATTTACCGTAAATGTTACTGTATTTACTTTTTGCATTTCACTGATTAACATGCATTTTTGTAACTAAGTTTACCAAACTGTAAAAAGATGAATTGATCAAATATGCAGAATATTATCATTTAGAACAAGGGTGCCCAAACATGGTCCTGGAGGGCTGATTTCCTTTAGATTTTAGCTCCAACTTGCCTTAACACACCTGCACGGATGTTTCTAGAGCTTAATTAGTTAGCCTGGGTGTGTCTGAATAGGGTTGGAACTAAACTTTGCAGGACACAGGCCCTCCAGGACAGTTTGAACACCACTGATTTAGAACATTCATTTGCAGAAAATGTTATTAGGTTGATATAAAATGTTACTCACCTTCAGACCTTAAATGTTGGAAAGTTCTTAAAACATTGAAAATCATAAAACATACATTCATTTTTTTTCGGCTTAGTTTCTTATTTATCAGGGGTCGCCACAGCTGAATAAACCACCAACTATTACAGCACATGTTTTATGCAGCGGATGCCCTTCCAGTACTGGGAAACATCCATACACTCTGACACATACAATACAGTCAATTTAGTTTTTTCTATTCACTTATAGCGTATGTCTTTGGACTGTGGGGAAAACCAGAGCACCCTGAGAAAACCAACGGATGAATAAAAAAATACAAAATTTACAGAACTTTATTATATACAGTTGAATTCAAAATTATTAGCCCCCCTGAATTATTAGCCCAGCCCCGTTAATTTTTCCCCACACATTTCTAAACATAATAGTTTTAATAACGAATTTCTAATAACTGATTTATTTTATCTTTGTCATGATGACAGTAAATAATATTTGATTAGATATTTTTCAAGACACTTCAAGACAAAATACAGAGCTTTTAGTTTAAAATTACTGACCGTTTATCACACAATTCTGTGAAAAACATTTATTTATTTATTTGTTTCTAGATTCATTTATTTTTGTTTGGGGTGGCACGGTGGTCAGTGGTTAGCACTGTCACCTTACAGCAAGAAGGTCCCTGGTTCGAATCCCAGCAGGTCTAGTTAGGATTTCTGTGTGGAGTTTGCATGTTCTCCCTTAAATTCGTGTGGGTTTCGTCCCCGGTGCTCCAGTTTTCCCCACAGTCCAAAGACATGCGCTATAGTTGAATTGGGTAAACAAAAGTGGCCGTATATGAGTGCGGGTGTCAATGTGAGAGTGTATAGGTGTTTTGCTGTAGTGGGTTGTGGCTGGAAGGGATCCGCTGCATAAAACTTATGTTGGAATAGTTGACAGTTCATCCCGCTGTGGCAACCCCTGATAGCTAAGGGATTACGCTGAAGGAAAATGAAAGAATGAATGATTTTTATATGCATTCCTTGTCACAAATGGCCAAAACCATTAAGAGAAAGTCGTACAGTTTTGTAACTACAATAATGAAAGCAAAAATATTAGTTTTCTCCTACATTTTTTTCTTCTTCTCCTATATCATCTACTATTTCCCACTATTGTGCACCCAATTCTCCTCAAAGGAGGCTCTTTATCCAGCCACAACCCCGTTCCCCATCTCTCCACCGAGACAACACGAGGCGCCTGGAGTTAACATTTGGATAACAGATGTGTGTGTCTGTTTTCATATGCCTTTCAGGTGACGGGACATCACAGCGGCTGTTTCCTGCATCTCTTGGGCTCCGCGGAGCAAACACTTGTTTCCTCATTCCCCTCTCCTCTCAGGCATGGCCGACCCCCTGTCACCATTTACTAACCAAATCCATCCAGAGCAAAGGCTTGAAAGCAGGGGATATTGCCTGCTGCTGGGGCTGTCGACTCAGCTCTGTGTGCTCCGCTGTTGAGACGGAGGCTTTGGAGACGGCTATTGCTAATGCACACACAGACATTCATTCCAATGAGAGGAGACACTTCACACCACACAGAGGCGCAACATCTATCTCACAAGACACGCTTTT